GTTATTCTACTTAGAGACGCTAAACATTTTTTAATTCAGATTTTGCACAAATATACAGCAAAGAATGGGAAAGCCTTGTTTTGAGTGGGGATAACACTTGTTGGTTTCTGTAGACTAGTTGCTTCACTTACTGTTTCATAGTTTAGGTCAGCAATTACCTGAATTAAGATGTTTGTACTAAGAGTCTTTGTGCACAAAGGGTTTCCATACTACTGTCCTAATCGTGGTATTTACTGACATATTGGAAAATTCTTCTTTTTCTTGACAGGCAACTGAGATGTTGGTTCATAATGCCCAGAATCTCATGCAGTCTGTGAAGGAAACTGTGAGAGAAGCTGAAGCAGCATCCATTAAGATAAGAACAGATGCTGGGTTCACTCTTCGTTGGGTCAGAAAAACCCCATGGTATCAGTAAACACTTGCCACATAAGTATTGTTTTCTGTAACATAAAATGCCTTTTTTTGGAAACAGAAGAGATATATGAACAGCAAAAGGTGCTGTATACATGAACTTAAGATTAGCTTATGCTAATGCCCCATTCTAAGGGTATGAATTATAAGATAATGCATTTCAAATGTCTTTGGAACACATTTGATATCAAACACCTCAAATTTGCTGTCAACAGTAGACAGTTCTTATCATTTAAATTTTTTTTGTTTGCTTTTCAAGATTCTCTTAGTGAATTCTGTACTCCCAGAAGCACATTTCAGTTATGCACTATATATTCCAGTAGTTCCCATGTGATGATATAAAACATGGACCTCACTTGAAGCTTGCCTTGAGAGTTTAAGGACACTGTTGGTTACTTGGCAGTTTTTTAGGGACAAATCACTGATATAGAAACATTCAACTTTCCAACAGGATTTTAGCTGGCTGTTCTAAAACCATGCAGAAATGATGGTGTGGGGCTTTTGATTAAAAGGGGGGAGGTGGGGCAGCAGAACAGTTGTAAACTGAGGATTAAAATTCCATGTCTGAACTGATATTGGGGTTTTTTTTTGCTTTTGATTTTTGCCTGGCAACAGTACTTTAACAAAAACTGGAGCTGTCTCTGTCACTCTGTAGGTAGGCATTCCAGAACTCTTGTACTGTACTGAAATGTTTTGCAGAGGATGTTAGTGGCACACTGTTGACACCTTAGGCCTTATGGCTGGAGACCTTAAATCATGGGACTCTTTCCTTGCTCAATTCAGCAATATATTGAGCTGAAACATCCTGGTTCTCTCAAGCTGGTTCTCTCGAGGACCAGAAAATGCCACATGCTGGCTCTTTCTTTTTGAAAACCAAATGAGCACATGCAGTTATTCTTATTTCCCTCTTCTCTCCATCTGATGTTATTCCAGCTGCTCAAGGTGGAAATTAAAAGATAAAGATTCTTGATTAAACAAGACCTTTAGCCTCACTGCCCTTGTTTTCAGCAATGCATAAGCTTTTTGAATCCTGAGCTCTGCAGGGTCCACGAAACTCTATTTAGGTAGTCTGATGGTCCCAGCAAATGGTGGTTCCTAATGCTACACATACCTCATTATTTTTACTGCTTTTGGAGTTTGGAGGCTGAAAATCTTTTTTCAAGTTCTAGTAATAGTGAATTGAACAAAGTGCTACTGCATCTTTTAAAAAAAATCCCAAACAAAATGACAAGAATAAAACCTCCGAGTTCCCCCTCACTAAAATAGACCTGTGATGCTTTTATCCTTCCATAATTTAACATGCCTTCATATATATATATATATATGTGCATACACATTGATTTAATTGCCTCGTAGTCTCTTTTGGCATTTGACAGAAAAGAAAACTTGTTTTTTATACTTGCAAGGAATACTTGCAGACTTCTGCCCAAATCAGCCGTGACATCATAATACCCTTTTAATTTGCTGCAAATTGTTGCATGATCAAACCACCTTGAATAGAAGTGTCCTTGTGCAAAAACTGCTCAGTCTTAACAGTTCAAAGGAAGAGACACAGCACAGTCAACTGTCCTTTACCTCTCTGCAACAGTTATTCTACACTTGGATTTTCTCCCCTCCACCCCCTTTCATTGCACTGTTATCTAAAAAGGGAAGTTAAACTGTTGATAGTACATCTGCCTCAAAGTGACCTCAGCAAGAGAAGGCACATGTTCGTCTTTAATTTGCTCCTTGTGTCTGGGTATTATGAAATATGTGGTACTTAGGATCTTTCCTTAGTGTTCTCTTCCTGCAGTTACCTGCAATGGGAAGAGGAGGGAAGGGGTGCCAGAGCCTTAACCTGGATGCATTTGGTTGGTTTATACCAGATCTTTAACGTAATTTTAATGTAGTAATTTCTATTTAATAGTAAATAACACTGAGTAAGTAGGGATTATTTTAAAGGGATTTTCTAAATAGTCTTCCTGTATTGCTTCTCTATGCTTCTCACATCCCCCTGTCCCAGTTCAGGCTTCTCTGTGAGATTTTTTATTTTAGCATCACTGTTTAGTTGCTTGACTGATATTAATGCAATATTACTAATGCCTTTAATACATAATTGTTTATGCCAAAGATCACTTTTTGTTTATTGATGAATGTTTGCAGGAGAGTTATGAATCATGGTTGCCTTTGATATTCTTCTAGAATGTTTGCTCTAAGTTCTCGAACTGTTTTGTAGAAGCTGAGATACTTGTCCACCTTATGCAATTACTGCATTTTTGAAAACTATTGGTCTGCAGACCCAAAGTGCAGCAAAAATTTGAACAAGACCATGAATGTCACTTGGAAATGTTTTACCACTATAAAACTTTGTTTATAAACCAAAATGTATTGTATAGTCTAATGTTTTCAACCTTTCTTTGGTTCTGTTAAAACAATAAAAATGCCTTTGTACAAATGTCAGCTTGCGGGTGTTAATGATAATGGAGCAGTGGATAATGCTGTAACAAGAAGAGCAGCAAAAAACTAAAGCAGCAGAAATACTAAAGCAAAAGACCATTTGTTTCTCCATGTTCTGAACAGAAAAAAAGTGCAAAGTTTCTCAAGCAGGAAAAGATTAAATGAAGTTTTTCTGTCCTTTGTGCCTGTCAAACTAGTAATTAAAGACTTTACTGGAAGCTGTGTTCAGTGGGAGAAAACAGGAGTTTTTCCAGGGCCTGACAGTCATCTGTTCTATTAGACCCAAACAAGGTTCTGAAACCTTGCAACGGGGTTTGCCTGATCCTGTCAGTAAGGGAAGAACTGCTGTTCTGCTCAGCATCTTGTTAATCTGAATTTTACTTCTTAAACTGAATGCAAGGGTGATTAGCATGGAACCACTGTCCTATTTCCTTCAGTCCTTCACCATAGGAACTTCTCAAACACTTGCTCTTGCTAAAAATTTCTACCAGCACACATAATGTTCTGACTTTGTGGAACCAATGTTTATTGGTGCCGTAGGACCAAATGTACCCCCATAGTGCCAGGAGGCACCTGGGGTTTAGTGATAATTGGTAAAATTCAGAGTTTTATACTGTTCACACAGTTCTCTCCATATCTGAGAGAAGATGAGAACCCGACAGACAGCCACCTTTGTCAGCATTCCCAGTGCTGGACATGTAGAGAAGGGGAGATCAAAACTTGGCAGTATAATTCCTGACTAACGACATCCTCTGATTCCCCAAGCTGTACTCTTGATACAGGTGCTGGTGCAGGTTTTTTTTAACAGGAGAACAGGTAAACAGTTTCTCTTGTGCAGAGTCTGCAGCTGAATTTCCTGTGTTTGGAGAAAGGGGCAGGAAGTAGCACACCTTCACCAAAAGGAATCAACCTCACACAACAGACACTAGTTCTCTGACAAAATACAGCTCTGTGCTCAGGCTGCTTTCCTACCAGGTGGGTACAATTCCTGTTGACACCGAGTTCTGGAGGTGAGCTGGGAAGTATGGATCAGAGCCTTCCCACAGACAGCAGCTCTTGGGTGTGCTTCCCTGGTGCCCGAGTTACAGTGGCTGGCCAGGCTTGTTCTGTAACGTGCTGGAGGGCAGAGCTGGTGTCCAGGCTCGCCAGTCCTGATACCACCTTATGTTCTGTACCAGCAAGGGAGTCAGTTCCCAAAGGAGATGGTGCAAGTGTTTCCAGGCTGCTAATGCAGAGGAGCAGCTCCAGGTACTCAAAGTTGGGCTTGGGACATTACCAGTTACCTCTCAAGACAAGATTTCTTGTACAGTTACAGTAACTGAAGGATATAATTTGCTGAAACATGGAGCAGAACTGTAGGATGAGTAATGAATTCATGGATGTTTCTCCAGCTGAAAAAAGGCAGACTATAAGGTTGGTAGCTTTTAATAACCAGTGTTGTGTCTACAAAAATGCAAGGCTTTCTTATTGTAAGTGCTGGTTCTTCATAGTGCTGTTTTATCTACTGTAATTTCAGAAATTCAGAATGGTTGTTTATGGCCGAGTTTACTGTAATGATATGATGCTAATTTCTTACTGACTTGCTGCCAGTGTTCAGACAGGTTTCCCCTCCGTTTCCCAGGCTGATCATTTTTTGTCCCAGTGTTTGAAATTCTGACTACTGAATTACTTTAGTTCCTGCTCTTCATCTGAAGCAAAGTTAGCACCTATTCACCAATTTCTGAGCCAAACAGATCAGGGAAACAAAGGCTCTCCAGTATCCCATCCTTCTTTAATTCTGAATTCAGCCCCCTGTGTACTGACCAAATGCATGGTTTGGAACCTGATGGGTACTGTGGAGCTTGTTTTGGTTTAAAGTGATAACAAGCTTTTGTTGGTGTGTAATGAGAAGTTCAGTCAGCTTTGCATCCTCACTGTTGAGTCTTTGAAGTGTCATAAACAAACAGCTGCCCTCCCTTTAGAAATAAAAAATACAAAAGGGACCTTACCTGCTATGCTTCTAAACAGCCTTTTATAAACTCTAAGTAGCTGCACAGTGATCAAGTTCAGTAAAGATGCAGCAAATAGTCATTTTTAATTGTGTATCAGATGCCTCCTGCCTAAGGGCATTGTGAACCATTTACCTCAGCATGAATATTTCACAAGATGAGACATTTGCAGTAGAGTTCCCTTTATTTCATAACATTAAAGCACACAACCATTAAATACACTTGACACTTCTATTGTGCTGTCTAAAAAGCTACGCTCCAAGGTACACACCACACAGATCTGGTGGCATCCGCTTCAAACAAGTGGAACATCTAAGTCAAAGCAAAGGCTTCACATAAAAAATAGATCTTACTCTCTGCAACTGTATTCTTAAAAAAAATTATGGAGATGATGAGACTGAATGGAAAGAAAGTGGATTACCGAAGCAACAATCACCTCCCAGATTTAATGCAGGATGTTATTTTTATCAGCTCATCTGCAGATGGCAGAAATGAAAGCTGATTAAGGCAAATGCTTCTTAAGAAAGGCAATTTCTTGTAAACAACACAGAAATTATTTTTTACCTCATCAGAAGCTTTCTCAGGAGTGACATTTGCTATGTCCTAGGGGTCCCCTGCCCCTCTCACTGCTGCTCTCTATTTCTGAAATGATTACAGGCTCCTTTGTGGAATGCCAGCTTGCAGCTGGCTGTGAGAGTAACTGAGCTTTCTTTGCAGGTGCCTGCAGCAGCAAAACATGCCACCAGACTTTTCCAGTGGCCTCTCTGGCCTTCATAATGTGCTTGACCTCTGGGCTTTGGTATCTGACTGGCAGTGTAGGGTTTGTGACATTTTATGGGTTGCCTATATCAAACTATTCACCAGCACAACAAATCAGTAAAAAAAGAGTGAAAGTGTATTAGAAAAAAAGTACCTTATTTTAAAGCCATATTAAGAAAACCTAAGCTATGCTTTCATTTTAAGAGCTGCTGTGCACAAATGCTTTGATCCCAAACTAATCAGTGTCTATTAATTAATTGGCACCTAATTAATAGCAACATAAGTCACTAAGCAGTCAAGTTTTTTTTAAGGGGAATTTCCTCTTAGATTATCTTCTCATGTCCTGACTTGGAATTTTCCTGCTTTTGTAATATATTTGACACCTTTAAAAGGCTTGTATTTTTCTCCATACATGTCTAGGCGATTCACTTTCAGTCCTGGAAAAAAGCCAAAGAAAGTACAAAGTTAAAAGCAGAATGCTTGGAATAATGTCAGTCTGTTTAAAAGTCCAGCTTTCTTGAAGCACGCTAGGATGGGTTAGGAAGCTAATTTTCCTTTCTTTCACAAGTTCATCTGGTTTGAAATAGCAGATGAGACCGTTCTTGTCACCTAATCATAGCTGTTTTGGCAGGGCAACAACTTCCTTCTCTTCTCCTCCATGAGCCAACATCCTCCTTCCAGGAGATGAACAACTGAACTGAGTCTATCCTCCTCCTTGTACACTGCACTCATTTCCAATCATGAACATGAAGCAAAGGACAAGTTTCAGAATTCTGTTCACTCCAATTCGTAATTAAAAGAACAGCAATCCCCCTGCTGTTAACTGAGGAAGGCCAGTAGCTATTAACTACCTACCACTTCAGGTGTTCCCTGTTTTCTCACAGGTCCATCATATCTGGTGTCCAGCCACTGGATCAGCTGTATTTTTCTAGACTAAAACTAGTTTAAGAGGAAACTGTAGGATTCTCTTCTTACATAAGAACTAACTGTTATTTACTCAAAGTAGTCTAGGAAGCAAAAGGACCATGGCCTGGTACCTGTCCTTCAGTCATCCTCCTCCTCTCCAAATGTGTCTCCACACTGTGAGAGTCTTGCTCCTGCAAAGCTTCCTTGCAGAACCATTTTACACATGGACAACTCATATGATTTAAGTGTTTGCAGACTGAGACCTTGTCTGCTTTACATTTAGTTTTGCATTTACCTTATACGCTTCATTCTGATTTTACTTGCCGATTGTTTTAAAGATGAAAAACTAACCAGCTCCAGAAGGAAAGAATAAAAAGGGCATTCTTCAAAATTAATGGAGTTTTATGACCATTAGAAATGGCTTTAGTGTAGTGCAAGACTAAAATGAGCCAAGGGCAGCATGCTGAAGCATCATCCATCGATCTTCAGTAAAAGGACACATTGGCATGTTTAAAGCACCCATCGACAAAGAAAAAGCCATTCTTCTGTACACTTCTCAAGCCTTTCTTGAGCAGAACAGCTGGGAATTCACAATTCCCAGCAAGGGAGTCATCCAGCAAGGGTAACTGTCAAGTTTGGGTAAATCAGACTTTATCATTTTGGACCAAGCAGACTTCAGATCAACATCTCCAAATAAAAGACTGACAGTTCCCACTTCATTTCCTACTACTACCTGTTCTGTCAGCACCAATTTCACGTAACACCCACCCACTCACCTGAAATTGCAAGCTGTTGTATCTTAAACTGGATGTTTAAACTTGGATTCTCCTCTGGCTTGGGTGCTCCAGACTGCAGGTTCACTATGCCTTTCAGGTTTGGTAGCTTCTGAGGGGTAATTTTGCCCACGTCCCACGTTAACACCTTGTCAGGAAGCAAAGAACAGAGGCTTTCTAGGAAACAACCTCTGAGGTTAAATTCATATCCAGCTTTTAGTTTGCAGGCTGGGTACAGAAAGTAGCCTGGCAGCCCTGAGAATTATCCTGCTGGCTGTGAGATGGTGTGGTTGGGGCTCCCAAAGGTATAGGGTCTTTTTTTTCCAGGTTTTTTTTTGCCCTGTTCCTTAGTGGGTCTTTGCACTGAGTGCATCGTGTTCCCTGAGCAATGATGATTGATCCTGATGTCAGTCTGGATCAGCTGGATCCACGAAGCAAGGACAGTAACCAGCAAAAAGTCACAGGAACTTAAACAAGAGAATGAAGAGAGTGGGAGCAAGACGCTTGGCCAAATGAGATGTCTAAGCTAGAGTAACTTTCCTAAGGATCACTTGTTCCCCATTGATTCTTACACTTCAGAGAAATGTGCAACCAAATAGGTCCTTTACTCACCTACAAGAGGTGGTTTGTTTGCTCTTACCATAAACTGAAAACTGATAAATGCAGAAAAACCTCAGTTCTCCTCACTTCTACACACTTTTGCAGTAACAATCCACCTAGTTATCCCCACTCTTGATAAAAACACAGTATAATTTATTTCTGCAGAGAGGAAAGCAGACTTCAGGGGTTTTTAGGTGTCTTTCTTCTAAAAAGGTCAAGGTCTATTGTTTTTGAAGCAGAATGTTACTTGGAGAGCTTTCACTTAAAATTCTAATCAATTGCTGAGGGCGGCAGAAAGCTCAGAGCAGGGTCTGAGAGGCAGCAGAATGGTTTGGCTCAGACTGCACTTCAGCAAAATGGCTCCTGGGTACTAAAAGGCTTCAGGAGCTTTAGGAAATTTAGGTTTCAAATTCCAACTCAGAGGAAGGAAAGCAGGAGCCCAAGATATGTTTTTTCAGACATTTTGTCTTCCTTACTGTGTGTCTTCAGGCATACCTTTTGGAAGAGATTTTTTTCTCATCTCCTGCTCCCTGTTTTTCTGGATACCTATTTTCAAGGCTACTGCATTTTCTCCAGATAAATATGTTTTCAAGACCATAGATTGCAAAATATATCATGGCTGAAACTACCAAAAAATGCTGCTGCATCCACTAAGGAAAAGTATTGGGGGGTGAAAGAGTAGGGGAAAAGAGAGGAAGGGAAGGAAAAGGATATTGACCAAGTCAGAAATCACAACTGTTGTGTATCTAAGTTTGAAAAATTAAATTTTAAAGATGAATTTTTAATTCATAAACATATGCTGAACAGAAAGTTTTTTGCTAAGAACACTGCTCCAGTGTTCTGCAACATGGGTGACTTGTTCCAATGCAATCTTTGATTTTTAAATAAATATAAACTTAAGACTTACCTTAGTAACTGGGTCAAAAGTATAGCTGCCTTGTGTAGCACTGAGGCTCATATTAAGTACAGCCTTTGGCATGTGAACTGTCATGACAACTCCTTCTACTGTTTTCCCCATATTCTGTTTTGGTCCAATAGTAACATCAAATCTTCCCGAAGAACTATTTTCCTTAAAACTGATCATGTGTTTCACATATACAGGAATTGCCACCAAGCTGAAAAGACAAAACAGTAGGTGAATGCATCCTGGCTACTTCTCTGCTTGAGAAGAAAAAGTTCTTTCTCATAAATAGTTCTTGTTTTTCTGGCAAGAATTTAAGTTAGAACCGGCTTGTTTCAAAAGTGAAAAGTGATACTTTGCTCTTCAGCATCATTGCTGAAGTGATTTTATTAGCAGACAGTCGCAGGAAAAAAAGTTTATTTTCTTCCAAATAACTTGTCCTATTCTCTCTTCCTTCATCTGTTTACTTTTTTAAAGTAATCTCACTGAGCCAAATCTCAGAAGAGCCACCAGTCAAATCAGGCTTTAGTTTGCAAATACCTGCAGTTTAGACTTTTTTGCTTTATTCTCTCCATGAAGGTCAGAGTCCTCTGTACACAGAGACTTACCCACAAAGCATCTAGCACCAACAATGACTACTAGCCCTGTATTACTGTCATGTGTGATTTATTTCACTGAAAAAGGATTGCTGAGTATCCTCAATTCACTGAAAAATGGTTTCCTTCTTTTAGTGGGGACAGAGGCAACAGATGAGACAAAACCTGAGCACATGTATTTTAGAACAATGCAAATCCCCCCCTTAACAAGGAGAAATCTGCAGTTACTCAGATGGAAAGCAGTAGATGGTGTGTCTGGAGAACCAGTGTGTCTAAATGGAAACGTACTTCTGTGAACTGACACGGTAGGAGATCAACCTGAAATTCCCATCGGGAGGAATAAATGAAAGGACTCTCTCAGACTCCCAGCGTTTGAAGCGGATACACGGATGGAAGCTGACATCATCCAGCAGCCGTGGGTTCTGGAAGTAGTGGCAAAATGGTAAGTGAAATCTCATCAAGTATGAGCAGTTTGAACTAGCTACTGAACTCTAGACAATTCCTATTTCTTAGACTCTAAGTACCTTTCCTACCCATTATCGGAGACACGTTACTGAGCTAGATGGATTTCTGATCTGACCTGGTACAGCAGCTCCTGTGAGTGTATTTTATGTACAGACAAAAGCCATTCCGACTACTGAGCAATGCAGCTTCTACAACATAATGCAAAACTTGTTATTTTTCACATGTATAACACATGAAGTAGCAATTGTGCTCTTAAAATTGTTGAACTCTGATTATTATGAAAAATAAATCCCGAGCAATTAACATTCCCAAATATAGGCTGAATTTACCATGAAAGACAGAGAAAGATCTGGCATTCCTGAGAGCTTAATACACGAATCAATAACACCTTGGATTTCTGCAAAGACTGTGGAACCTGCAGGAGAAAAAACAGACACCTGACTTAACATCATTATGAAGGGCCTTAACAGACATGGTGAAGTGCAGCTGGAGGGCACAGATGACATTTGCACAACGCTCAAGAACCTGCCAAGCCCAGCTAGGGAAGGTCATTCCAGTTACCTGTGTCCCGGGCAGCTTGCTAAAATACATGAGCCAGAGCAAATAGCTTGGCCCAAATCAGCTCATTATACTTGTGCCAGCTGTTATACAGGACTTGTACTGGATGTGCTTCAACTGGTTGCCAGCAAAAAGCAAATAAGAATTTCAGAACACATGAGCTCTGAATCTTCTTTTCTTTCATCCCTGTCCCTGGTCTCCAGAAAACTAGCAGGTGGTGTTGTGGTGCAGGGAAGTTGAAGCACATCAAAACAACCAATGTCAAAAAGCAGTAAGTTTGTGCTATAAAGCTCCAGCTAACCTTGGCTTTCACAAGTAAGGTTTGTTTAACAGCAAGATTACGTATTTGTCTTGATATTAAATAGATCTATAGCAAAAAAACCCCAAAACCCAAAGCAAGAATACCAAGCATCTTACCCAGGAAATGCTCATTTCCTTAAATACCGTGTAAGAACAGAAAGGCATAAGCAGGACTCTGGACTAATTAATTAGCCCCACAAGCAAAGGTAATTTTAGAAGACAGATAGAAACTACTGCTCATCTAGTCAAGGGGAAGGAGAAACAGTGGCTTTATATTTGGTTTGAAAAGAAGGGATCCTGTTTCAGGTTAAAGCAGTTAACCATATCCCTATGAAACAAGATACCATCCCTATTCAGGGGAACCACCTTATCTACTTCTTAGTCCCAGTCAAGGTTAGGAAGAAAGACTCTTGCATTGCTAGTCCCCAAGGGATCAGAGCAGAAAACAGTAGCTATGACTGCTGCAGCAGATCCTCAGTAGGAAATTTAAACACTCTGTGGACATTGGTTTGGCTTGGAATACACATGGAAACACACCATGGTCTTGATTGTACCTTCTCAGACTTAGCTCTCATGCTACTCTTGGGAATCCTAATGAGCTGGGAGAGTAACACAGTCATCAGTGTGTTTTGACTGTGAGGGACATCTTCTTTTAGCTTCAAGATGGTGAGAGTAAGAGCTGCACAATAACTATTTGTGACTATCCATTCAGTGGTGGCCAAAGCATTAAGTGGTGTATGGAACCAAAACATCATTGACTACTGCTACAACAGCAGCACTGAATGAAGAAATCAGAGATTTGCTCCCTGCTCCATTAACACCACAAACTGGTGTCCTGCAGTCTTCAACACTGCTAACTGATGGCCCCAATACTGAACAAAACAGCAGGTTCCTGCCCACAGCATTACAGTTTTCTCTTTGCATCAGTTTTTTCTACTTCTTGGCACACAAGTTATCCAGTTCCTCCTTAAAGTTAAATCTCAGAAGAAAGACCTTTGTATTTGAAGATGATATGTTTCATTTACAGAAAAGGAGTATTATTATGCTTCATAATATCTGGCTCTAGTTTATATATAAAGCAAACAACACTGTCCAGCTATTTTGCACCAAGTTTATCTTGCTAGCAGAAGAAAGCTAAAGAAAGCTTTTGTCTTGCTCATTTGAGGGCCTACAAGGACTGCAGTACATTGTTGGCAGGAACAATAGGAGATAATTTTGTCATCACATTTGAAACTGCAACTACTTATTTTCCATTTATATCTGTTATGAGATAATCAATATAAAACCAGAAAACATCCAAGTACAGAATATTTCTTGTAAGTGTTCTTGAAGCAGTCCGGAGGATATTGATGTTTTAAGATGAACCGAAGAAATACATTTGGGCGCATAATTTTAAATGGTGTATTTTTATCTAAGATACAGATTCATGGATATAAAACAAGCAGAAAAATAGAAAGGTTGGACTGTATTCTCTCTAAACATCAGCAGCTAGATGTAAACACATTCAACAAACAAAAATTAGTTTGCAAGGCATCTTACCTGATTTGTCTATAATGGCATCGATTTCTTCAATGACATCAAAATAGGCTTCGTTGTTCGTGTATTTTACCCCCGCTCTGCGCCAGGGAATGTTGGACAACTGGCCGGTGGGAAGTGTGTCTCCCACATTACTACTGCCTTAAAAACGAAAAGGAACTCAAAATCAGTCACTAATTACAAGAGGAATGTTCCAACTGCCAAAATTAAGAACCAAAGCGAGGTTTGCCCCCAAGAACTGCAGACTAGAACGTGGAGCACTAAAATGTTATTTGTGAGGTGACGTGAAGGCACTTCAACCATGTGTCCAGGCTTAACAGCTTTCAGACCATATTTTGCACAGGAAAATACAAGTCAGCAGGAGGTTTGAGTGAGAGTAGAAGTGGGGCTAGATCCTGTGAAGGATTTAATCACTATAATTCAAGACAGCTGCTTATGAGGGCCTTCCCTCTTCTCCTAAGAGTTTTAGCTGGCTGACTTCAGGGCTGATTTACAGGTAAGAGTCATTAGGAAAAAAGACATGTAAGAAGCCTCAGGGAGGGCTCCCACAATCTTTGCTTAGAGCTGTTAGGCTGAGGTTCTCACCCTTGGTACCCACCTGAGCTACCTTGCAGCAACATGACAGCCATGTCTGTACCTGACCACGTGCCAAATCTATCCAGACCCTGCTCCACTGACTTGACTTTCTGGCTCGACCTGTCCCATTCTGATGGATATTGATGGCAATCACTGAGCTGCAGATGACCTGTTATGATCTGATCCTGTCCTTGACCTGTTGGCTCAACTTCTGGGCTCCTTACCAATGATGCCACTGCCCCTGCCTGCCTTGCTCTCACCCTCAAGCTCCTGGTTCTCAATACCACCCAGCTTCCTGAGCTACCTAGTTATAAACTGATGATGCTTTAAAAACTAAAAAAAAAAAACATAATCTTATCACTTCTGGGGCTTAGGTGACTGATCCTGGAATCCCAGCACAGCGGAAGCAACTCCCTCTGCTACAAGTAGGTCTTGGGACAGGGCCACAGCTCGCGCTTGCTTGTGCCCTTTAGCGCAACGCACGTGGTAGTGTGTCCTGCCACGTGAGACAGCTCCACTGAGAAGCTAGTGGCCAGGGGTATCATTTCTACACTGGGCAGGCCCTGTCCTAACAGGCATAAAACAAAAAGTTTTCATTCTTTAGAGCTAGTAGAAAAACTTAAAAAAACCCCCTTCCTAAAGTCCACCCCTGTATGTACTATAACACAAGGGGGAGGAGTTGCAACCAGTTCCTCACTCCCACAAATCTCTGTAGGGGAGCAGTTGTCATGTTTGTCCCTCAGCAGCCTTGCAGGATGCAGAAGTGCTACACAGGGCTGGGCTGCCAGGCCAGGTAGGTAGGAGAGCTCTCAGGCTGCTGTTTCCACTGAGCTGTTGACAGTGACAAGATGCAGGCTGCCTTGGGCAGGTGCTTTAGGCTCCTAGGGAATCCTAATGAGGCTCTAGATAAAACAAGAGGATTTGATGCTGCAACCCTTGGCTTCAGGAGTCTTAATTCCCCTTACAGTGGTCCATCTAGTCCATTAATGTCATATTTTTCATAAGTGTAAATACCACCATCCAAATCCACATTTTAAAAAACCCTAACCAGACCCCAAATAACACAAATTAAAACTGATGAGATTTATACTCAAAGACTAAGCCATATCTACTACCTCAAAGACCAGCTCCTCTGAGTACTACCTGTGTGGCCCTGCAGCTCAACTACTCCTCTAACACAATGTACAGGCGAACACCTCCCATGTCTCTGACCCCATGTGACACCTCATGGCTCACCTCCCTTGCACCCGCTTGCCAGACAAGCAGATTCCACCAGCTCAGCTGACAGACATTTGGCTCCATCCCTACAAGAAAGACCCATTTATAACACCCTGAAATCAGCTCCGAAATCGAATCCATACGAATCCATATGCTGATTGGTGGTGAGGGTTGGGCAGAGGCTGAGGACAGGCTACTTGTTTCCCTTCATGCTATCTGTTCCCAGCCATCAAAGATTTATTAGGCAACCATTATATACCTTTCTGTAATGATTTCTTATAAAATGCTTAACCTCCAATGCCCCTCAGTTATTCAAGGCTTGGGGGTAGCTCTGTACCAATCCCAGAGCACCTGTCTCCAATATGTCCTGACTGTGCTGGGAACTGCTATTCCTGAGGGACTTCAGCAGCTGTGGCTGGACCAGACAGTGCCACCAGGGATAGCAAGGAAGCCAGGCATGAACTGCAACTATGGAGGGAGTTGTTTTTATTCAACTCCTACTTATGAAAAGTGGCAGGACAGTGGCCTCGTGTTACAGATTCACACCAATACATTACTTTTTAGCTATGAGGAATGATGGGGCTTTTTTTTTAAACAGCCAGTCATCGCTGAAAATTATTTATTTTCCTACCTGTGATGGAGTTGACAACAGAGCGCAAAATTGTGGGAGGCTTAATCAGCTCCTTCAGTATGTTAGATTCTGTTGCCAGTGGAAAGCCATTGTCTAGCATTTCTTCTAGAAGCTCATACACAATTACTACATTGTCCTTAATTGCAGTCTCAGAACATTCGCCGAAGTAATCCTAAACAAATACAGAGATTACAAAAGAGAGGATTTTTATTCTTGTTAAAATGCTTTGCAAAAGGAAGTTTGTTTGGTTTTTTTCTCACAGAAACCCTCCAACATACGAAGGCATCTTAGTGGCTAAACTGACTAGCTACTTCTATAGTCTGATGGCATCATATGTTAAGGTTACATTTATCATCTAACTGGAAATAGCATGAACAGCAAAATTAATGCAATCTGATTTACTACTATATATTTCCCAAGGGTCCTTCCACTTGTGAACATTAACACATCTTCAGTTAGAGGACTCTCGTAAAATGAAGGGACTATCTTTTGGCAATGCTCAATCTTCACAGAGGTCCTTTATTTACAGAAACTGGTTGAGAAGTGACTCATGCTTTGCAGCTCTTTCCTCCCTGCAGACTGTGTGCTGCCTGACTGCATGCTCCTTCTTCCCATCTATGTAACACCAACAGTCCAAAACCTTACAGAAAAAAACACAGCTTTTACAAAGTGGGATTTGAGTTTTAGTGACTGTGTACTGGTAACTATAAAATCAAGTGAGTACACAAACTATACTTTTCTTGCCTTTGTAATCTATAAACTTGTGCTTGACTCAGAAATTGCAGAGGGGAAAGTCACTGAAGGAGGGTTTATTATCTTTCTTTAAAAGAAGTTTATACAAAAAATCCCCTGGAATTATTTTAGAATCATAGAATGTTAAGGGTTGGAAAGGACCTTAAAGATTATGTAGTCTCGACACCTCCTGCCATTGGCAGGGACACCTCCCACTAGATCAGGTTGCCCAAGGCCTCATCCAACCCAGCCTTAAACCATAACCTTCCTGGGCAATCTGTTCCAGTATTTTACCACCCTCACAGTAAAGAATTTTTTCCTAATATCTAACCTAAATTTCCCCTCTTTCAGTTTGTACCCATTACTCCTTGTCCAATCCCTACAGTTCCTGATGAAGAGTCCCTCTCTGGCTTCCCTGTAGGCTCCCTTCAGACACTGGATTTTAAAATTATTTAATGGTGACAGACCTGGAAAGTATCTGCTACTCGGTGCAGAAATTCAATTACAAAGAGTGGTGGCACTTCTGTCTGTATGACAGACACAAAGAAGATTTTATCCCGATAGATGCTGATGAGGTAGTGATGTGGAGTTGAGATGACAGGAGGCACATTCTCAACATCGATTGCTTTCTCCTGAGCTTCAAAGAAATAATCGCACACAGACTGGCTCACAACGCTCTTCCAGTGCTTCTCCAAGAATATATCACCAGAACAGTTTATAAGAAACAGGCTGTGGATCATTTTCTGTTGAAAACACATTCAAAAAAAGTTAGAATAAACAAAAGGATATGCGGATTGACATTATTCCTTCTCCCAGATTCCCTGTCTTACAATGGGTATTCTTTATTAACATGCACTGTGAATTTAGGAAAAAGATCTGCTTTGCTGCTTTTCTTTAAATTGCATTTTCTTTATTTAGAGGAATGTTCCACCAAAAAATATTTCCCAGTGGATTAAGTCGGTAACTTATATCACAATGTGAGCAAGAAGCAAGCATCCTCGATTTCCACTTTCATCCCCATTTGGTATTTGCAATTTATTTCTTAAAGAAAAGCTGACTCTCACAAGTTGGCACTCACTTAAACATGACATGTAAGGGTAACTTGTACACAGAGTTTCCTACAGCAGAGGACTTTGACAGTCACACACATAACTCAGAACTGCACTGTCTCAAAGATACAGTTCTTTAGCTTGTCAGCTTTCAGCTACTGAACTACAAAAGTGGTTTTTATTTGCTGGCTGATTAGGCTTATGATCTATGCCAAGCTGCACTTGGATAAAGGGTCAGAATTCATTAAAAGTACACAGAACTAGGAGTTTAAATCTGATTTAATGAATAAAATTGCTTCAAACGTGCTTGGCACACATGAAATATGTTTACATAAAACATTTTTCGCTTAAAAACTCACTTATGAAAAAGAGGAGTATGAACTGCAGATAAGGAATGTAACTATTTTTTCTTAAGTCTTTAAACATTTACAAATAACATGCCTCAGCCACTGATCCTTCATTTTATTCATGGGGCAAGAAGCTTATCTGCCTTTTTAAAAAAACTAATTCCCAGCTTATTTCTCAACTTTCAGTGAGACAGTAAGTGAACTAAAGTTGTTGGGACAAATGAAGAGAACAGTCTATCATCTCCACATCTACAGAAGAGACAAATGCTAGCAGACTTCAGTTAATCTCTTTAGCCTCTACATGAGACAGACACAATGCTCTGACTGACCTGCAACATAATGATCCTCTGACAAAAAAAGTACCAAGTTTAAACGCGGGCTTGGAAAACAAACGGAACTGTAACCCAAGCAGTGGCACCTAAGGTGAAGTTAATCTGGTACTTATATCGTGCACAAATTCATTCTGTAGTTGAAGAAGCTGCCCCTGCCACTGGCTGTTCATCCCTTTTGCCTTTCAGGATCTGAGCAGGTCTGTGGCTCTGCAATTACCTACATTAGGAAAGTGCAGGAAAGTCCAGCCATAAATTGTCCATCAAAAGAAGTTTCTGGTCAGATCAGCTTCTTAATGCAAGTTATTACATTGCCAGAGAGCTCCATGGGGCTGGCACAGGGCAGGTGGTGGAAATGGGCAGACGACAGCAAGGGAGATATCCTGAATTGAAATTTAGTCTTTGGAGGAATTCAAACATGACTGAAAAGAGACCAAACAGTTACTGGGCATCCACACCCTGAAAGAGGAAGGCCACCATCAACTCAGCATGTCCAAGAGAAGCAAAACACATCTACCAAAAACCACTGCAGTTTTTACTAATCTTACAGTGTTTGGCTGGGACCATGCCTAAAATGCAGATAAAATTTGCTCCTTTGCTGATGTTGATTCTGGCACACTAATGTGAAGATGGCATGGAAGCATCTAATGTAAATGGCCCAGTCCCACAGAGATTTTAAGGAGTCCAAACATTGTATGACCGAGTCTCATTCCAAAATACTGTAATAAGCATTTCTCTTCATCCAGCATGAGCTCTTGTTGCTCTGTCTGAATCTGAACTGCCCAGAGTACTCGACTGACCTCCCAACACACTTGTAACAATGAAAAATGGTCTGGCCCTGAAGATTTTGATGAAACTAAAGTATGTCTTCCAAAGCTCACCAAAGATGGTGAAGAAGGACAGCTCAAGAAGGTCATCAATATGCTCTTTCCCTCCACCTAAGTCAGCAGACGTGGGAAGGGAGCCAAGATCCAGCTTTTCAAATTCAAAACTCCAGCTGCTCCTTCACATGCATGACAGCAATGTGCTCATCTTCACTGGGGCCTTGCCAGGTCTTAGATACCTCCTGCTAAGAGCACACTGTCTCTCATGGCAGACGCAGAAGCGTGGACAGAAAAATCCAACTCAGCCAGTACAGTATATAAGGAGAAGTTCTTTTAGAAAGTGTGATTGTCAATTTGCTTAAGAGTGGGAAAGGAAACAAAGCTAAAAAGTGTTATTGCATGTTTCTATTGTCTCTCTCCTGGACCAAATTAATCTCTAATTTAGTTTGTAAAAAAAACCAGACAATTTTAATACTGTGAGCACAGCGTTTTTATAAAGGAGCCTTGACACAATTGCTTTAATCCAATTCAACTAAACATGTTCTGAATTTAGCCAGCATTGCACATTAAACCCCTCCAAAATCTCCTGGACAGTCACACAACGGTGGCAAGTATAATCAACCACTGAATGTCAGTATTGTTCCACCCCAAGGCGGCCCAAACGTATGAAGGTGATCAGCTATAAAGCTTAGAACAGATCTCTGTACATTTTAATATTGATACAATAGCATATCTGTTAACAAGTGTAAGACCCAGTTCCTAGGAAACGCACACAAAGCTACATAGGAGAGTTCCAGTACAAGCAGCACTGGTAGGACTCAATTTCCAGAGGACCTGATCTATGGCTGGCTCTGGAGGGACCACACTGGACCCCAGGCAGGTTCTGACCAAGTATATCAGCATGTGTGACGGTGTTTTTAAGCCCCAGCAGATGTCCTGCTGTTAACAGATAATAAGATTCTATTCATCCACAGATCAGAAGTGGTTGCATTTGTCACAATATACTTTTAAAAAGCACAGCTGAGCAGCAGACCAACACAGTCGCAGTGAGCTCCTGGAGCACCAAATAGCTGTGTTGGCAGGGCCCCTTCTTTGCCCTGGGTTCCATTTAGGATATTAGACCACAGCTTGATATGCAATCAAGAGAGTGTGGGTAGCCAAAAGGGCATTAGTGTTGGGCCACTGCCCCTATTTCCTCATGGGCCACAAGCTGCCCAGGTACCAGCTGTGTTCATACGAGTGTTTGTGTGGCCTCGAGGTGAACTGCAGCAGCAAACTGATCCAGGGGACCATGCTTGGCAGGCGCCAGCGTTGTACTATCTGTGGAAACAGAAAAATCCCACCTAGCTGCCTACCTTATCTTCTAGCAGGAAGATAAGGACTACAGATTTCCCATGATACCTAATTATTCTCCTTCTAGTGTAAGAGTTCCCTTCAAAGCCCCTCACATACTCCTTTCCTCCTTCACAAGTTTTAGAAGTGCACTAATTTGCTGCTAAACTGAAGCTCTCTCCTTGCAGCCTAAGAACAGAGCAGGCAGCCCTAGAGGCACAAGCCCTGTCCCATCAGCCAAGGGGCAGCTCCATCAGCACACTTCCCAGTGCTGACTACAATAAAGAAGCTCTTACAGCAGTGGGGACATCAGTTTATTATACACAAGACTAAGTAATTTGATTTATCCCACACTGTCAAGCAATTGGCACCAGCTAATTAAAGATGGATATCACGTTGGATATCTTAGAACTGGTGACACTACAAAAATATCTTATGTAAACTATTAGTTAACAAAAATTACTTACAGTGCTCCAAATACTAATATTTCCCTTCTATTCTATTTTTGAGTGGCAGATTTCATTTCAGACATGTAGAGATCCCTGAATTCATTTCTCAGTATCCTACCTTCTTGTCTCATCAGAACATTAAACTTGGGGAAAAAAAAAAGACTGAAAAATGCTGAACATAAGAAATCAATCTAGTAACAGCAAAATTCCTCACACCAATAGGTCACTACTTGTGGCTAAACAGCAGAGGATGTTAACAGCTGCAGCACTTCGAGGGTAAAGGTATTAAAATGAAGTTCCTAAGTTTAAAAAAAACAGTAGCAAAAGCACACCACCAAAATTTATAAATCATGAGATTTTTCTACACGTAGCAGTGCACACATACACCACTTTGAGGTGTCAGCATCTCTGTGTAAGATATGGAAGGTGTGCTTCTATTTCAAAAGGACATGCCTTCATCTTTAGGCCAAAGCAAGCCCATCAAGCTCATTTTCAGTAGGCTGACGGCCTCCCATAATACTGCCTGACTGAAAGGCATCTTACAGGCTCTGCAGCAACAAGCAGCCCAGAGAGGTTTTGCAGCTTCTTCTCACAGACTTCCCATCCTTGCTCTGACACAAGAAACTCCACATGATTCTTTTCAGTCATTTCCATCCTACCAGAACTTGAAGTCCTCACAGAAGAAAAAAAATATTTTAATTAAGGAGCCTTTAATATGCTGTTTCTACATCTCCATCTTTTCTTTTTGACTAAATCTGGATTTGCAATGTTACTGATTTTCAAATTCTTGGCACAGAAACATCTGGACTGAAGTCATAGCAGGCTCACAAAACAAAAGTGCAGCTCATTGGCAAGAGGGAGAGGCTGTGAGCATGGGAAAAAGACTGATTACACATGCTTGTCCTTAGCTACAATTAAGTACTCTAAAATGTAGAAAATGCAGAAATACTGTTACCAGCTGCTTTTCCATAACACTGAGCTGAGTTACAGTAAAAGCTCTGAAACCAGAAGTGAGGAATTTATCACTGACCTCTGCAATGCCCTTTAGAGCTAGTACCAATTACTGAAAACAGCTCAAAACGTGACCATCACTGGGAAAGTATTCCACAGCTTCCATGTTCCCTGAATTGTGCATAGCTGCTTTGAAGGGTGGCAGGACTAGTGGGGGTGGACTCTCTGAGTCTCTGTTATGTATCTGTGGAAATGAACTTCTAGTAACAAGTGAATGGAAAGTAATCAAATGCTTAAAGTAATCTGGAGAAATAACTAAGCTAAAATAGGCAGTACTAGTTCTATTTTAAAGCCATTATTTTTGTCACAACCAGCTGGTCAGTATTTTAGCTTTTTCTTATAAATTCAAAATGTGCCACAAATGTGACAAAACTAGAAAACCTTTGTTCCTGACCTCCCCAGCCCCATTCACTGGCTCTCAAACCAGCAAACTTGATGAAGTCCTATTAAATACTTGTATGACATTTTCAAGACAGCCAATGTGGCAGCTCTGAAGATAACTGTATAACTGGCTGGACCAACCTGATGCAACATTAGCAGCTGTGATTCAATTTGATAAATCTGGAATTCTCAGGTTTACTAAAATGTGAATGTTCTGTAATTTCACAGCTTTTGTTAGGCTCCTACCATTGTTTGTCTATCTTACTGCTGCTGATCAAGTGTCACGAATCCTTTTACATATAAGATGCCCATGGCTTAGATATCTGCAGAGTAAAGTAAAAACATTTTTGCAACCTTTTTTAAGAATTACCTGGTGTCCCTCTCTGTTAGTTAAGCAAAACTCCATATCTACTCAACACCACAGTGCTCGTGTCTGTACAACTACTCAGATGCATATTTTATTAGCAAGATCATCCCTATTAAAGAGTAAACACTTTGCTTTCCAGATGCTTAGTATATATTTATCTTTACTCTCATTTAAAACACTGTTAGTGACTTTCTGGAATTGTTTTCAAAAGGAAGTAGTCCTTTGAGAATACTCTGAAGTTGTCTTAAATCAGTGTTTGGTATCCATAACAAAATTTGCAACTTCCTCTGTGCCTCTACCAGTAACAATTACAGCCTGCATGAGAATTTGTTCAGCATTTCATTTACTGACTGATGAGCTTCCCAATAATACATTTGACTGGCACCTCTGTTCAATTTAGTTCCAGTATAAATCTTCTAACTGCTGGCAAGATAGTTCCATCTCTTGTCAACAAAACAATGTTAGATCCTGAATAATCGAACAATATTAGATCCTGAATAACTGCAGCTCCCTTTGGGACCTGCAAGAATAGAAAGCTTCACTGTAAAAGCTGGAAAAGCAAAAGTTTCTTAGAAAAAACCCCCACACCAAAACAATTAAAAATTCATCGCTAAAACTATATTTTTACATAAAGATGGAACATTTTCAATACAACTTACATCTGAATCAGTAGCTTTAGGACTACTAAGGAACCACTTAAGAAATTCACTCTCTGAAAGCAGAACTGGATAGACAGGGAGGACCAAATGGACATGAGCAAAGTGCTGCGTATTTACTGTCAACGGTATTTTCAGGAAGAGACTGATAATTGTGCTCATATTCCAGCAAACAGCCACGAAGAACTCTGAATGGCCAAGACAGTAGGATTCTATCATAGGATAAAAAGCCCTCAACTCAGTAGTTCTTTGTGAAGATGTTTTCCATCATGCTCTCCCAACTCACTGCCCCAGTAAGTCTGATGGGCTGGAGTGGCAGTGCAATGAGCTTTATACCAGTCCCTTTCACAGGCTCTATTTGAAGAGGCACTCGAGGTTCCAGAAAGGACAAGCCCAGCACCAAAGAGCCCTGCACTACTGAAATACTAGATCAGAGCCAACAAGTACCACTGGAACTCTGCTGTTGCACACAGCTCTTACTCCTGTGTGTGCACTCCACCAAAACCAGCCCAAATGCAGATGGCACAAAGAAGGCACATAACCATTTGTACCTCCCTTCTCTTCCAAGAGAAAAGAGCAAAGGGGCACTCTTTAATTCTTTCATTCCATATGAATTAAATGAGTGTCCCGAATACTGTCTGAAAGAATCTTCTAAGAAGCTCCTGTTAAAAAGCTGCCTCTCATCCATTGTCTTGAATAAGCATAAACAAGATTTATTTTCCATATGTTAATTTTTTTAATATATGGGAAGCTGCTGGGGGAAAGTTAAAGGGAAATAAGAGGAAGGAACTTCACATTTTAAACAAGGTTTAATTTGGTTTCTTCCCATTATTACAGCCATGAAGTACAGCTGCCACTTGTCACCTGCTGTTCAGACTTCTCTACCTCAAGGACTTCAATTTCTCTTTCATGAATCCTCACGACAACGTTTCTATTAAAGATTCTTAATGAGAACTGCTTATAAGGAGAGCTTTATCTGAGAAAGTAACTGGGACTTAGCTGGTGCTAAAAATTTCATTTCTGGATAAGAACGGCAAAATTAAGCACAAGAGGGCATGGAGAAGTCTTAATGTTTAATTTGCCATTTGCAAGGAATTTTTAGGTAATTACACACAGATAGGAAAGAACCTGATTGTTCCATGCTTTTTTTGTCAAAACTAGGTTTGCTTGTGGCTTTGAGTTAGCACCCAACACACCACAGATTAAACCCTAGACATTCACAGTGAAATATCATTCAGGTATTTATCACCCTCCCTTTTTCTTTTTTTAATGAGCAGCTATATACAATTCAAACCTGCTGGAAACTGCCAGCAGAATCATTCCCATGGTTGGCATAGTCAGTTCTTTTGTAAAACATTTCTTCTATCATTTTTCTATCATTTTCTCTCTTGCATGAGTAATTTAATTTGTTTGAGCTCTTCTTGCAAAATAGCTTTTTCCTTTCCCATAGTGCAGTCTGCCTGCTATGGAACACGGATTTTCATTATTCAAGTATGATTTTTTGCCTGGTTGCTTATAGAATAGCTACAGAATGGTGCAGAGCAGCTACAGAACGATGAAGCCATTCCGCCGGTCTGATCAACATCTAACGGGTACGAATCGTTCATCATACTGAAAAAAATGGCAACAGCATTGCTACTTCAAAGCAGGTTAGAACTGAAACAAAAGAAGAGAAGCGACAACCTCCACTCAGCTACCGCTGGGTACCGAACAGTGCAGAAGCGATGTACAGTGCACAGGGGTGGATGATAATGGGTTGATTCCCAGCGCAAATTACGCAGATCTACACTCATATGGTGCCTTGCTAGTTAAGCAAGTACAGCACGACTAGAACCACCAGGTCTGCAGCGATGCTGCTGCAGAACGGCCCAAGTGAGCCGGGCCGCCGCTCCCGCAGCCCCTGCCCCTCCCGGCCCGGATCTGCCGCGGGCTCTGCCTCGCACGGCGGCTCCTGCACCGCCCCTCCCGCAGGCCCTGCGCCGGCTCCCGGCAACCACAATAAACGACCTCCCGGTGCACAGTCCCCCCTCATCGCCGCTCCTCATCTTGGGAGCGTGAGCGGGGCAGGTCGCCCTGCGCGGGGCTGTGACCCGAGGGGAGCCCCGGACAGAGCCCGGCCGCCCTCGGCCCCGCTCACCCTCCGCCGGAGCCCCGCCGGAGCTCACAACAACGGGGGGTTTTGTTCAAACACAGCAGCGATTTTGTACGTATTCCGAACAACGGAAATGGACGCGGATAAAACGGGAAGTCTGGGATTTGCGGGGCATCCTCCCGGTACCGCCGCTGGCGGGGATGCCGCCCTTGCCCGACTCCGGACACCCAGCGCGGCCGGGGCCGGGCGCGGGCGGCTCCCGGCGGGCGGGGGTCCCACCGCTCTGAGCACGGGCCCCGCCGCCCCCCCCTCCTGGCCCGGGCCCCCACTCCCCACGTACCTCCCCCGGCCCGGCTCGGCCCGTCCCGCTCCCGGGGCAGCGGCCAAGATGGCGGCGAGGCCCGGCGGCGGCGCGGGGCCGCCCCCCGGCGGAGGCACGGGCGGCCGGGGCGCTGCCTGCACCGAGCGCCTCAGAACGGACCCCCCTCCCCGGGCCCTGCAGCCCCCCGGCCGCGGCCGCCCCGCCCCGCCCGCCCCGCCGCCGGGCAGGGGCCGGGGGCGGCCCCTCGGCGCTAAACCCACCCGTGCCGGCGCCGCGGCACCGCGCGGCTGGGCAGGGACGGCGGGCGGCGCGGGCTCCGCTCCCCGCCCCGTCAGGCGCCCGGCGCGGCCGTGCGTCCGCGCCGCCGCCCCCGCCCCCCGGCGGCGGTGCCGGCGCGGTCGGCGGGGCGGGCCGGGGCCGGCGGGCGGGCCGAGGGGAGCGGAGCGCGCCGCACGCCGCCCAGCGCGAAGATGGCAGCGGGGGAGCCGCAAGCCAAGAAGCTGAAGCTGGAGCAGAAGCAGCAGCAGCAGCAGCAGCTGAGGTAACGGGCGCCCTGGAGGGCTTCGCTTCGCCGACAAACCCCGGCGGGTGCCGGAGGGTCGCTGGTGCCGCCGGTGCTGCCCCCGGGCGGAGGGCGAGACACGTGTGGCGCTGCGGAGCGGGCAGAGTCCGCCGGGAGGGTCCCGCCGCGCTGTGCTCGGCCGGGCAGGGCGCGGGCGGCCCCGCCGGGCACCGGGCGCACGTGGAGGCGGCGGCGGGGCCGCTCTGCCCCGGGGCCGCTGCCCGGCCCGGCCGAGCCCGGGGCTTCCCCCCGCCCGGGGCGCCCCCAGCCGGGGGGGCGGCGCGGGGAGCGCGGGCCCCGCAGTGCCCCGCGGGCGGGCCGGCCCGTGCCCGTGGGCTGCCGAGCACCCGCACGGGGCCGTGCGGGGAAACCCAGCGCTGCCCGCGGCGACGGCCCCCGGCGCTGGAGCACAGCCTGGGCTGTCACCCCACGTGCCTCCCCTTTGGAAATAAATCTCTGCAAAACGCCCCGGTTAACACCCGTGCGGGGGTCTCTGTCCTCGTTGGATAGGAATTCGGTTATCCGAAAATCCACGTTAACAGTTACATTTTCTTCGGGACATGCGGAGTATTTTTAAAATGTTTTCATATTGTAAGAATCCACGCGATTTACTATGCTTCTTCATTTCAGTGATTGCTATATAATGTCACTGTCTGAATCCCATGTGACTGATGGCCTGCACAGACGCAAGTCATTTATTTTTAAACGTCATAGCAGAAAAATATAAGGTTTCTCAATGCAGGATGCATGGGCAAAATGAGCACTCTGAGTACTGAGAGCTATAGAGCAGCTTTTGTTGGTGCAGTTTGAGGTTTGTTTTCTGAGCATTATTCATACATGAATATAATTGTAAGATAGCTGATTTCCTTCCAAGTATTCAGTGTGTGAAGAGGATTAATGACATAAGGCTTGAAAGGTCCACAGTTTTCTTGGCGATAACTAATAATTTGCTCAAATATACCATAAAAGAGATGTACTTTAGTACTGAGATGAGAACAGTCCTTTTTGGTACTGATGTCCTTACTGAAAGAGCTAATCCTATTAAATTTGTCAAAGTCAGGGTACTGGCTTCTTTGGCAGCTGAGTGACTTTTCCAGTTTAATAATAGTTGACAAGCTAAGATGCAGGTAGTGGAAGAGGAAAAATGTAACTGAGCTCTGAAAGCAAATAAAGGGCAGGCAGCAGGATAAGATTGGAGTCAAAGAGCAACAACTGTCTCCATGGACCTTTAAGCAAGGTGGGTCAAGAAGCTGGCAACTGCAATGTTTCTATTTATAAAGCTTATTAGGGGAAATGGCATTTTAACATGAAACATGAAAAAAAATAGAAATTTGAGAGCATTATTGGAGTACTGAGTTAAAAGTTTAAAGGTTGTTTTACAGTGAAATGAAAGGCCATGGTGACATGCTCCAGTAAAAACTGATTAAACTGAAAATACTACTTCTGCAAGGCATGATAAAACATGAGAAACGTTGATAGAACTTGTGTAATCTAATTCTGTTGCAAGTCATTTCAAGATGAAGTGCAAATAGCCCCCAGCTCTGTTTCATAAGAGGAGAAATACCATGATTAACTGGTGATCAATAAAATTAATGTTTGTTGCGGGCCACAGGTTGAATTTGTCAAGCTGATGGTGGTTGGACTAGATTTGGCAGACCTCAGCACTCATTTGAATGTAGTGGTAAGAATGTGTTTGGCTTAGTGCTGTGGTGGGACTTAAAAGCCGGTACAGAAAGTACCAGAATGATGGAGGTTCCTTGACTTGGTTGTTTTTGTAACAAGGTTCAGTTGTTAATGCAAAGCATTGCTACATGTGCTTGGAAACACTTAATCTACGGATTAGAAGTGAAAAATCACTGGAAAATTTTGGGAGCTAATAACATTGTATTTGTTATAGCAGGAATTAGAGGCGATTGCGGAGAACAATTCCTTGTTCTGGACATCTAGGTCTGAGGCTCTCCAGCCTCTTTAGAAGACCATGTCTAATGGATTCAACAAGGATGGTCATGTACTTTATTTATCCTCCTATATGGTATCAACCTGAATCTTTCCTATGGTTACCATGAAAACTATTTAGTGTAAAAAAATGACATAATGACATAAAAAAAAATTAATTCTACTCTGCAACATAAGCTGTACCTCATCAACAGTAGCTAACGTTTTCTTCCCTTGGTTTTTTTTTTGTCATCATTTTCTCTCTCAAAGTGGCACCACAGAGGTTTCATGGATACATACTTTTGACCCTTTTGATCTTTTCAGACAAAGGAAAGCAAATATTGCTCCCTCATGAGGTAGGCAAAGCTGACCGGGTTCATGAAGCTACAGTTGTTTGAAAGCAATATAGGATGGCTGGCTTTTGCCACCCAGCGAGCAGCACACAAAGCCCCAGACCCAAACTGGGGTTCCCGGCTCAACAATGCGTTGTGCTGACATTCATCTGCTGGGAGGCAGGTTTTGCATTGTCTTTATTGACGGGTGCAAATCCCGAGTACAAACCAATGGGCTTTAGGCAAGGCCATTAATGTGTGCTGCCTTGTTTCAGGCTTCTGACTGCATCTCTGCTGTGTGAAATAGAATATCATTGTGTGTGTGTCAACTGTACTGTTTGAACAGAAAATAGGCTTGCAAAACTGCAAACGGCTTGTCACCGAGTGGCAGCATCAACTTACTAGAAACATCATGAGGTGTTACTTTACAGGAGAATTACTAAGGATTTGTGGCCTTTTATATTTGGTTTTGTGTTGGAAGTCTGTGAAAACTGCAGCCAGACTTCGCTAACAGCCTGGTACAGTTACTAAAGAATTTGGGCATTCCCTGTAGGAATGTTTGAATTTACATGTACATGTCTGTATAGAAATATGCATGTTCATTTTTTCCCTCTGCACACAAACTTGTGAAGTTCCCCGTGCTGCATTATGGCCTTCTGGCTGTTCCGCAGCTGCTGTATTGATTGAATAGTCATGATGTGGCTGGTTGTTTGGACAAATCAGTTTATCTACAATAAGACAGCGTAAGCATTGACTTTCACAGATACTTTATCCTAGAAGTACAAAGTACAATATTCTTCTTCTGGTATTATTAGACATCTCTTTCTTTTCAGAATAAATTATCAAATGCTATGTGCTTAATTGTTATCAAAAGCAGTCCTTTGTCATTAATGTTCCACTATATTTTAGACAGCTTGATACTAGTGACTGTAAAAAAATATCACTAATTTCATGCATTTTTAGTTTTTTTAACAAGCTGACTTTTAATTTCGCTTATTTCTTCATCAATGCTTTGCAAATGGAAGAAGATTCCGAATATTTTAAATTAGCTGTGACAAAGCTTTCAGTTAGAATATAGTAAATTGGTTTTCTTCCTGTTATATTATCTCTTGCTTTTTTTTTTAAATTTCACCTTGCTCCTCATTTGTATTCATTTCAGTTTCCATCTTCATGGCTTATAGTCTTCTCGCTTTCCAGTTTCTTATATCTGCAAATACAGGTTAACTTTTTCATGTCGGTACTTGTAACGTCCTCAGTACAAAGTTCTGAAACTCTAGCACTTTGCTGAGTTTGTTCCTAGAATTAAAGCAGTAGAGTTTTTCTTCAGAGGAATATTTAGGCCCCTGTAGAAATTAGACAAAGAAATACTTTCGAAGACACTAGCAACAGACCTTGCTAATTTTGCTTTATTTAGGGCATAACAACAGTAACCTTCCCTTCCAAGGTGTCTTGACAGAAATATATCCAAAACTGGAATGACTTGCAGTGTGGAAAGTACCTAGCTCTTATAGTTCAGGCACTGGTTTCCATTGTTCAGATATGTAACTCTCAAATTACTGCTCAGGTTGACACGTGTCTTCACCCAGCCTTTGATGTAATCCTGTGGGATTTTGCACAGCGTGTGTCATGTTTCCATAGTTTTGTGTTCTTGTTTTGGAGAAGCTTCTTAGGGTGTTCATCCTTTTAATTGAAGTAATTCCTTGCTTTACTGTAAAGGGGTGTGTAACCTGAGGAAAGAGGAGGTCGTGGGAAGGCTCTTTGTTCTCTGGACCACAAGCATGGCTGGTGTCTCTTTCTTTCCTTGCTGCAGCCCTCCTGGCCAGAAGAGTCATACTGAGATGGTTTAGACATAACAGCTTTTGCTGATATCCTGCAGAAATGGACACCTCTGACTTGCTGTGCTGCCTCCCTGAAGTCAACAGGACAAGTCCTGTCCCTGGGCCTGCTTGCAAGCTGGATTACCTGTGGGAGGAGAGCCAGTGCAAATAGGCCTATTTCATCTTGGGTCTTGAAGTTCCTGTGATTTTTATCTGATATTTCTGAGTTCCTTCTTGTTCAGCTAATGAAACCGTTTGTGCAGAAGTACCTAATTGGATCTACTGATATTGCTTGTAAACAGACAAGGAAGATGCCCAGAAAAGAGACTTGAGTGAATATAAAATTAGTTGAATATGGTGTCAGTGTAGCACTGTGAAATTCTGTAGAACAAGACCTTTTCTTACTCTGCTGTTGCTGAGGTATATTTCATGTGGAAATGTTTGAAGCAAAACTCTAGCTTGTGATTCAAGGTTGTGATATTGAATTTTAGTAGTTACTTACACAGCCACGGTACACAAATATTTCACAAAACCAGTTTCAGAAGCAGGGAATGGGTTGCTA